GTTAAAGGATTTCGCCAGACTGGGGGTACCTCTCGGCTGGATTTATTAACAACTCAGCGTTGGGCCAGCACCCAAGTGAGTGGCAGGGACTAACAAAAAGCACCTTCTGTACAGACAGTTTTACATGACGCTGTACAACACACGAGTCTGTGGCGGTTTGGCACAAACTCTCAGTTCCCAATCCTTCATCAATTTCCAAAGTTCGTTAATTCCCTCAGTCTCAGCTAATTCTCGTCGTTCCATTCCAATTCCTCTTTTGAAGGTGCTGCTCACTGGTGCAGCCTTTGGTCTCCACAGTTACTTCTCAAACAATCTTCATCATCATTCCCCTTTAGAGTTCTGAGACAACACTCAAGATGTGCTATTTAACATGTACTTCATCTCTGACCTTAAAGGCCTAACCCTTCGAAATTGTTCCCTCTAAATTAATCACTCATTTCTCATCTTTTGCCAGGTCTAAAACTTAACACCTAAGATTAATTTTTGTTAATTCAGTTTGACTGGGTTTTAAGCCGGCCATGGCGAGGGCTGCCCAGGGGGCAAGCGAGCAGCGTTGGCATTGCACTGTCAGTGGTGTTCTTTGATAAATAACTATAATCTCATAAGTTTAATTAATAAGATACGGGTGTTCAATTATTCTCTACATATAATAATATCCTAATAAAAAGTCTTCTAAAAGCTTGTTCCTGTTACAGGGGGGCAGCGTGGGGGCCATATGAGCAGCGTTGGCATTGCACTGTCAGTGGTGTCCTTTGAGCACCTGTATCCTATTAATTAAACCTGTGAGACTAATAATATCTTAATAAAGAGCCTTCTAAGAGCTTTCTCCTTTTACACCCACCCCTCCCTTCCTCCCCAGCTCAGCTTCCCTCCCCATTTATCTCCCTCCTCCCTGCCAGCCACTGGTGTTGGCTCTATCAGACACAAGAAGCTTCTCGCAGCTCCTCACAGAAGCCCCTGGCTACCAAATCCTTGCCACACAAACCCAACACAGCAGTGCAGCATTTCTATTTTTTTTTTTTTTTTTTTTTTTTTTTTTTTTTTTTTTTCCCTTTGTAGATGGGGGGCCAGTGTCTGTCACCATCCCAGCCTCTCCCTTCATGCAGAAGCTTGGCTACGGCACCGGGGTCAACGTCTACTTGATGAAAAGGTACACGTGGGCTTGGTGTCTTTTTTTTTTATCTAGAATAAAATAAGGGATGGAAAGTGAGCTCAGAACAAGAAAACGACCTGCAGATGGGCATAGAGTTGAGGAATTTCTGGGGGTGTTCCAGCTTTTCCCTGTTGCTGGAGGTACCAGTGCTGGGAGGGAGCCCATCATTTGGTGATAATTCCATCAGCCTTTCCCTGGCCTGAAATTCAGGTATTTTGGGTCCATTCCTGGCTCTGCCCCGCCCTGAACTTCAGCTCCTCCACCTAAAAATAAGAATTGATGCAAATCTTTTCTAAAATGCTTAAAAACTTGATGGGGGAGCGCTGTGTATGGGTGAAGAGTTACTATGCACCTCTGCAGCGTGCAGGTGAGCAGACTTTGATTTATTTTAGCATTATTCTTTAGTAATATTACAAAATAAAGGCAGACTCTCTCCAGAATAGCTCCTTGGTGACCTGTGCAAGCTTTGACTGTGGTGCTGCTTACAAACAGGGCAGTTCTGACCCCGGTGAGTTTTCCCATGCAGATCTCCCAGAGGTTTGTCTCGCTCCCCGTGGGCTGTGAAGAAAATTAATTCCAAATGCAACAGGGGCCCGCAAAACATCTACCAGCAGAGACTGAAGGAAGAAGCTAAGATCTTGAAAAACCTCCAGCACCCAAATATTGTGGGTAAGTTACAAATGAAGGTGTCAGAGCCACCGTCTGGCTCTGGAGGTCCGGAGCCCCGGGGTGTGATGGCTGGGAGGATCAGTGAGTGCTTGCCCCAGCCTTACACTTCGGAGATGGGTCAGTCAGAGCCACTGTGGAACTTCTTAAATTAATTTTTAAGTCGTACTGGGGTCTTTGAAGCGCTCCTGGGCTGCTGGGGCAACGCAGGTGATGGCAGAAGATGCCCCTTGGGGCTTCGTTGCCCGTTGAGATCAGGGTCAGTCACTGAGAGGTGGTTTTTCTGGGTGAGTTACCCGACAGAAACGGTTATGGGGAGGCTCACAAGGTGCCTCGCTGCAGCTTTTTGGCACCTGCAGCCCAGCTTGAGCTTGTGGCCTCAGGGATGGGAGAGGCCACCGTCACTTTGCAGAGGACAAGCAGTATCTCAGTGATATTTGGGTGGGTTTCCCTGTGCAGAATAAAGCTGCAGGCCCCCCCCAATGACACACCTTTGGGGGTGACAGTCGAAGCTCTGTCACGCTCTTAGCTCTGGAATGTTTCGAGAAGCTGCTTTAGTCTGTGTTTAATTTCTGCTCTTATCTTGTCTAAAATCTCTCCTTAAGGTCAGAACAGCAGCTTTGTCTGAGTTTTTTTCTTTTATTTGTGCTTTGAACTATCTCGGCATGGTCGCTTGTTTTAGAAATATGCGTGCAAGGAACTTTGTATCCCTAAAATAGCGAGTCTCGCTTCTGGCAAGGATTGGCCAGCAAAGATAATCTCGACCTTCCACATTGCAAACATTTCACTGCTGTTTTTCTAAAAGGTGCTGTAGATCGTTTACGGGATAAGACTTTAGTTATGTCGTTATGCAAGAGTTTGACAACTCCACCTGAAGAGTATTGTTTACAGACAGGAGTAAAAACATGGAGGAAGAAAGTTCACACGAGATTTCCTACGCCTGTTAGTCTTAACCTTGTGAAATGGCCCCTGTGAGGCCAGGGCTTGGCTTTCCCAAACATCCCCTGCCCTTTATCTTTTTATCTTTGCGACTGGAGGTGTCGGGCCTGCAGATCTGCTGCCTTTCTCCCTCATTTCTCCTGATTCTCTGTCTCACAAAGATCGGGGTGAACCCCCCCCCCCC